TTGAATAAATTGAAATGACATGAGTGAACCATTTTATAAATGTAAACAACTAAAACAAATAAAAAACACAATTTAAAAAAAACATTAGAATAAAATAGTATTTCTGAGTTCTGAGATCTGTTTGATCATTTCTAGATTGCAGGCAAATAAAATAAAATAAAATGATCATTATAGATTTTTTTTTTTTAAGAATTAATAAATAAAAAATATAAAAATTTATATTTATAATATAGTTCTACAAATAGTTGAGAGTTTTTTTGAACATTTCTAAGTTGCAGACCTAGAATAAAATAACATAAAATATAAAATAAATTAATTAGAAATATATTAATATAAATAAAACATATTACATTTAAATAAAGATAGTTGTAAATTTTACGAGTTCTTAATAAAATTATAATAATACATTATTATTAATATTGTGGAAAATGTTTGTTTTTCCATACAGTTCAAATTTTAGTAATTCATTAATAATGATAATAAATTATTATAAATATGATAATGCATTATTATAATTAATTAATTAATTAATTAATAATGTATTGATTAAAATTATAACTTATTATTTAAATGTATTATTAATGTTTTGGAAAATAGGTTGGTTTTTCCATATAACACAGATCTTATGTCTGGGACAGGGTTATTATAGGTAACTAAAAAACTGAAACTAAACTAAAATAAAATACAAAAAACATTAAAGCAGCACTATGTAACATTTTCTGTGTTCAAATTTGCTAAATGTATATAATGAGCGAGTAGATCATGAATTCATCTTCCAAACCGCGTTTTTGTCTTATTCCGAATCACTCCGGTACACTTATAATAAGTACTTATATTTGCACTATTGTAGCCTGGTCACCGCTGCGGAGTAACACATACCTGCGTGAATCGCCATAGACATAAATTTAGAGAAGTAGATCCGGTTGGAATGTTCTTCCGCGGGATGTGTGTAGTTCTGTTTATTAACCGCTAGAGAGCCAAAAGTTACATAGTGCTGCTTTAACTTATTTTATTTCAGCTATAGCTGACAAGGCAGCATTTCTCATCTCATTTAGTTGATCTTGATGTACTAAAATAACTAAAACTAAAACAGAAATAAAAAAAATTATATAGGCATTTAAAAACAAAATGAAAACAGAAAATCTAAGAATAGCATGTAATTGAAAGTCGCACAGCTGTGGGACTGCAGTCAGAGTAAATCTCTGTGTTTGCAGGTTATTTTAAGATCCTGCGAGGCCGTGATGAATGTGGGTTTGAGAGTGAGATGGTGGCTGGTGTTCCTCAGCTCTGAACAGATGCACATCTGGATTTACTCGACTGACTGCATGATGCACGAGCATCTGAATGGAAACCATAAACAGAAATAAAACTCTATCTGCACGTGTCTCATCATTGTGGTTAATGCATTCTAAAATAATATACAACAATTAATTAAAAGCAAAACTCTCGTTGTGGTGGTAATGTGAAAAATAAAGTCATTTACATTTTAATATTATGGTGTTTTTTTTATTGTACAGCCTCTCTAAAACAATGCTGGGTTATTTTTTTAACACTATAGGTTCAGCCTGTTGGGTAATTTTATTGGGTGATATTTAATATTTCAGGTGCTGGGTAGTTTTTCTGTCACTCAGCTGCTGGGTTATTTTTACTGTCAATAAATGATGAACGAATGATGAAATTAAGGTATGTATTACAGTGTATTCCTATTAAATTATTACTGTAGACTCTTTAAAAAATGCTGGGTTGTTTCAAATAGCTTTCAGCTTTTGGGTCAAATATGGACTAACCCAGCTGTTGGGTTCAATTTTTAAATTACATTTTTAACCCAAAAGTTGGGTTAGTCCATATTTGACCCAAAGCTGGGTTGAAACAACCCAGCATTTTTTAGTAGTGATGGTGAAATGAATCATTGTACTTACACAAAATATGAATAGATGAGTCATTTATGAAACAATAAGCATGGCTCAGGCATATACACTCTAAAAAAATTGAAAACAACCCAACCGCTGGGTCAAAACAGCCCAATAGCTGAGTCAAAACAACCCAACCGCTGGGTCAAAACAACCCAATAGCTGGGTTTGTCCCTTTTTAACCCAGCATTTT